TTATGAAAATGCTTAATTATATGAATCAGTTTCTAGTTGTAAATGTTTTTAATTTATGCATCTTATGAAATAAGCTGTGCTATGAATTACCTGCTGAGCGTTGGCTCATTCCTCGTTTTGGAAATATTTTTCAGGAGAGAAGTAATGGCTGCACGACGATCTTACACTTATCGTCGTAGGGGACCTCAGGAGGATGAAAGGTTCCTTTTTGTGTTTTTAGTTTGAGTCTTTGTATTTGTTTCAGTGTAGTTCGTGAGTTTGAGAGTTATGTAATTGTGAAAGTTTATGTTATGATGATGAATTTGAAAGTTTTATTGGTTAAGAGACAGTTGATCACTTTATAACATTTGAGTTTGAAGTTTATTAGTTGCTCTTTCATGTATTTTGGGATGATATTTATATTCTAACCTTAAGTTTTAAATGAAAATATGTTATGTATTATGCTCTTCCGTACGATAGTCTGTTCCCGCCCCGATATAATCGGGCTAGCCGGGCCGGGTCGTGACAAGAGTGGTATCAGAGCAAGGGTTTAATACTGATTAATGAAAAAGCTTATAGGATGATTGATTGAGTCTTAGAATGTGTAGGAAGTGTAATTTTATGATTATTTGTGACTTATGATTGATGTGTTTTACCTCAGGAGTATGGATCCTGAGCAGAATGCCACTGATGGCATTAATATGGAGGAAGGGAGGGAGCTACCAGAGGTAGCAGAACCTCGAAGAAACGACAATATGAAGTCATTCGCGCAGATGATGGAAGCGATGACTCGGATGATTAGGACTTCCCAAAATCAGGCCAGTGGCAGTGGAGGTGGAGGTCGGCCTATGGATAAAAACCTGAAGCTGTTTCAGGATATGAAGCCTCCACTGTTTTCAGGTGGCAGACCTATAGAAGCAGAAGACTGGCTGATGCGGATTGAGAAGATCTTGGAGGGCATGTCTTGCCCTGAGGAAAGGAGGGTGACATTGGTTGCTTATGCATTTGATGGCGAGGCTGAGAGGTGGTGGAGTCAGTTAGAACAAACATTTGGAGGAAGACCAAGCAGTCAAGTCTACTGGGAGGAGTTTGTGAAGGTATTCAGAGACTGGTATGTATCTAAGTCAGCCAGGAGACAGATGCAGGACAAGTTCAACAGATTGGTTCAGGGAGACTGATCTGTTTCTCAGTACGTGGCAGAGTTCACGATGTTATCCAGGTATGTCCCACACCTGATATCTGATGCTGAAGAGAAGTGCAACCGATTCCTGAATGGATTAAAAGATGTGATTAGACAACCTCTCATTCCTTTTGGAATTGAGGATTACTCTGTCTTAGTGGAGAGAGCAAGAATGATAGAAATGGATATGCTGGCAACTCAGAAGAGGAGGGATTTTTATAAGAGAAAAATGGAGGGCAGGTCAAAGCCTTCCCAGATGACTCAGTCTTCCTAGTCAGGGGTTTCTACTTGGAAGAAGCCCAGATCCAGTGGTTCTGATAGCAGTTCTTCAACTGCTACATTGTGCAGTAAATGTGGGCGAGTGCATAAGGGAGAGTGCCTCTCAGGCACTAATACTTGTTACTGGTGCCATCAGCCTGGGCACATGGCGAAGTCTTGTCCTCTTTTGGGTCAAAAATCTGCTACAAATGTGAGGTCAGGCAATAATGCTCAGAGGACAGCTGGTAGACCAAGAGCTGTGGAGCTACAGCTTCTGTTCCTTCTCAAGGCCAGACTCGTCAGAATGTTCAGCCACGAGTCTATGGACTGTCCCAGCAAGAAGCTAAGGGGTCTCCTGATGTGGTTACAGGTGCGTAGTTTAATTAATTGCAATGAATTTTCTTTTTATGAAATTGAAATTGAAATGAACAATGAATGAAAATGAAATGAACAAATAATGAATGACATGTTTTGTGAATGAATGTTGCACTTGTTTATGTTTAGGGACACTCCTTATGTGCGATAGACCCGTTAGAATCCTGTTTGATACTGGAGCGTCACACTCCTTTATTTCATACGAGTTTGTTAGATCTGCTAAATTGCTTCCTACCTTTATGTTGAAGTCTCTATCAGTTTTGATGCCTAATGGGAATCATATGGAAGCTAAGCAGAGATGTCTTTTGAATTTGAAGATTTGTGATAAGAGTTTAGAAGCAGATCTGATTGTATTGACTCTGTTTGAGTTTGATGCAATCTTAGGCATGGATTGGTTATCTTGTCATTTCGTGACTATAGATTGTAATAAGGAGGTTAAGTTCTGTATGCCAGGAGATGAGAAGTTCAAATTTCAAGGGGATAGAGGAGTAACTGCAGTGATTGTGTCGTCTTTGAAGGCTTTTCAGATGTTAAAGAAAGGTTGTGAAGGCTTCTTGGCCTATGTTAAGGAGGAGAAAAAAGAAGAAAGAGAGCTGAAAGACATCCCAATTGTTCAAGAATTCCCAGAGGTGTTTTCTGATGATCTACCTGGTTTACCTCCAAGTAGAGAAATAGATTTCTCTATTGAGTTAGTGGCAGGAGCTGAACCTGTTGCTAAGGCTCCTTACAGAATGGCAATTAAGGAGCTTAAGGAGTTGAAGGAGCAACTGCAAGAGTTGCTTGAGAAGGTTCATCTGACCTAGTACCTCCCCTTGGGGTGCTCCTGTACTGTTTGTGAAGAAGAAGGATGGAAGCCTGAGACTTTGTATAGATTACAGAGAGCTGAACAAGTTGACAGTGAAGAACAAGTATCCTCTCCCCATGATAGATGATTTGTTTGATCAGTTGGAAGGTGCTTTCAGTACCAGATATGGGCATTATGAGTTTGTAGTAATGCCCTTTGGTTTGACAAATGCCCCTGCAGTGTTTATGGATCTCATGAATAGAATCTTTAAGCCTTCTTTAGATCTATTTGTGATTGTATTCATAGATGACATACTTGTGTACTCCCCAGATGAAATGAAGCATGCAAATCATTTAAGAAGAGTATTATATACCTTAAAAGATAATGACTTGTATACTAAGTTCTCCAAGTGTGAATTTTGACTGAAGAGTGTGAACTTCTTGGGGCATGTGATTACTGATGGGAAGATATCTGTGGATCAGCATAAGGTGCAAGTAATAACAGACTGGCCAAGACCTGCTACAGTGACTGAGGTTAGGAGCTTTTTGGGATTGGCAAGCTACTACAGGAGATTTGTTGAGGGATTTTCACAGATAGCAATGCCACTATCCAAATTGACTCAGAAAGCAGTGAAGTTTGAATGGACAGCTCAGTGTGAGGAAGCTTTTCAGAGGTTGAAGCAGTGTTTGATAACTGCTCCAGTGCTGACTATTCCCTCAGGGACAGATGGATTTCAGCTTTACAGTGATGTCTCACATAAAGGGTTGGGTTGTGTACTGATGCAGAATGGGAGAGTCATTGTCTATGCTTCTAGGCAATTGAAGAATCATGAAAGGAATTACCCAACCCATGATTTAGAGTTAGCAACGGTAGTTTTTGCCTTGAAGATCTGGAGGCATTACTTGTACGGAGTTCGATGTGAAGTTTTTACTGACCACCAAAGTTTGAAGTATATCTTCACTCAGAAGGAACTGAATCTAAGGCAGAGGAGATGGCTAGAACTCATTAAGGATTACGAGTTGGATATTCAGTATCATCCGGGCAAAGCAAATGTGGTTGTTGATGCTTTGAGCAGAAAGAATTCAGTTAGTGCAAACTGGATGATTACACAGCAGCAGGAATTGATAAGAGATTTGGAGAAGTTAGAGATTTCAGTGGTTCAGCCCAGTGATGCAGAAATTATAAGGTTGAATCAGACTATAATTATGTCAACCTTTTCAGAAAAGGTACGAGAAACTTTGCCACTTGATGCAGATTTTAAGAAGATACTGGATATGGTTAGTATAGGTCACATTGAAGATTTTGAGCTTGATGGTGATGGATTGCTTCGATATAAGGGCAGATTGTGCATTCCAGATGTGGATGATTTGAGGAAAGAAGTTCTTCAAGAAGCTCACTACTCCAGTTACACCATTCACCCAGGCAGTAATAAGATGTATCAGGATTTGAAGGAGGTGTTTTGGTGGCCAGGAATGAAGAGAAGTGTAGCAGATACAGTATCCAAATGTATTTCATGTCAGATGGTTAAAGCTGAGCACCAGAAGCCAGGAGAATTTTTATAGCCCTTACCCATACCAGAGTGGAAATGAGAAGACATTGCTATGGATTTTGTGGTTGGTTTACCCAGATCCAGAAGAGGAAGTGATACTTTATGGGTTATTATTGATAGGTTGACTAAATCTGCACATTTTATACCTATCAAACAGTCTGATCCTGTTGAGAAATTGGCAAGCCTGTATGTTGATCAGATTGTTAGATTACATGGAGTACCGAAGACTATTGTGTCAGACAGAGATGGGAGATTTACTTCCAGATTTTGGAAGAAAGTCCAGGAAGCTTTGGGCACCAGGCTTACGT